AAATCCTCACCTCGATCCAGCGGCCTGGAGGAGGAGGAGGAGGAGGAGGAGGAGGAGGAGGAAGAGGAAGAAAGCCACTGGCCGAGGAGGGGCTGGGCCGTCGTCGCCTCGTCGGTCACCCCAGTTGGCCTGGGCTCGCGCGCAGCGCGCCATAGGCGCCGCAGCCGCGGCGGCAGGAGCCGCCATTCCCACCACGCCCAGGTCAAAAGAAGGACCCAGCGCGGCCAGGACAGGCGGCTCATCAGGCTGGCGGCCGCCGCCAGCAGGCTGGAGCAGCACCACAGCGCCCAGCAGCCCCAGCGCCACCAGCTGCACGCCATGACGCAGAGCTGGAAGCAGCAGCAGCCCCGCGGCGCCTCGAGGGAAAGGTTGTCAGGAGCAGGGACCACACACCTCGAGCCGTCGCAGCGCGGCGCAGGGCAAAGGTGGACAGGAGCAGGGTCCACGGCCCAGGCGCCAGCGCGAGGCCCAGGGGAAAGGTGGTCAGGAGCAGGGACCACACGCCCTGGGCCTGCTGTTGGGGAGCAACCATGGCCGTGGCGGAGATCAGGACCCAAGAGCAAGAGCTCCTGGAGCCGCTCAGAGTCCAGGAGGAAGGCCGCCGTTTACATCCAGGAGCACACCTCAGTAAGAAACAGCAGGCCATCGCCGACTCCGTGCTCGAGCTCCCGTATTCCATATCCCGCGACCACGAGTCCCTCGGCCTCCCGCCAGAGGACCCCGACATGGGAAAGCTGTGGACGAGGAGCCTCCGGCAGAGGCTTGGTCGAGTCGCTGATCAGATCAATGGCGCGCAGTCTGCCAAGGTTGACGCCGGCAAACTCATAACCGAGGCCTCGGTGATCAAGTGCATGCTGGCGATGGCCACCGACCCACATGTTCGGCTCCAACAGTATCGATCTCAGATCGACGCGCTGGCAAAAGAGCAGAAGGACATCTACGAGAAAAAAGGAAACTTTGCAGACCAAGGCCGACGCCAACACCCAGCTCATCGCAGACTTGGAGCGCCTCGTCACGGATGTCAAGCCCAAGATTGCCGCCGAAGCCGACACGGACTGCGAAGCTGACTCTGAGGATGACCAAAAGCAGTACAAAACTAAGGGAGCCAACGCCCCATTTCGTCGTCGCGCCAGTCGAGAGCCTCCATCCTCGCGCTCGAGCAGGCCGGCCTCGCCATCAAACAGCATCGTTGAGCAGCTCAGACAGAAGGATGAGGAAGCGTGCCGAGAATGGGGGAGCCACGTCAAACTCGCCAACGCCGAGCTCCGCAACAAAGAACGAAGAGTACGAGGAGGAGGTCGAAGCCATGCGCCAGGGCTTCGCAGAGATGAAGATGCAAAGCCACGACAGGCCCGTGCACCACGAGCAAGAGCTCTCCAAGGCGGCTCTGAACGCCACGGAGCAAGCCATATGCAGGGACAATGAGGCACTCCGCCGCCAAGAAGCACAGCAAGAGCGCGTGTTCCAGCAGCGGGAAGAGCTCGTCCGTCAGGTCTACGCCGAGAAGATGCAGCAGGAAACGCAGAGGATGGATAACCACGAGCGTGCGATGAGATACGACATAGAGCGTAAGAAGCTCACCCGCGAGCAGAAGCGCCAGGAGGCCTACTACATGCTCGACGCCATCCGCGCGGAAACGGCCACCCAGACCAGCACCGCAACTACCTCCGAGGAAGCAGCCCGCCAGCAAGCGCAGAGTGAACAACTCCTTCGTGAGTGCGATCGCCTGCAGCGCGAGGGCCAGAGGATAGAACAGATGAGCCAGGGCCACCTCCTCGAGAAGCAGGCCGTACAAGCCATGGCAGCCCAGGAGATGCAAAGAACAAACGACATCGCCGAGCAGACCGCGGAGGCCCAATCGGACCTAAAGCGAGGGGAGATCCACCAAGAGCAAGTGATTCAGCAGCAGACGGTCATCGCGGCCACGCAGCTCTTGGAGGAGCACTCCGCTGTCTAGAGGGAGCGCGAGGTGGTCTACCAGCATGCGGAGCTCCAGCTCGAGGCGCAGCGCCATATCCAGAAGAAAGTACGACCAGCTCGAAGCCAAGGAAGCAGCGCACCAACGAGCAACCCTACAGCACCAGCTTCTTCAACGAGGCCCAGGCCCTCCAGCAACAGCTGCAGCGCAAGACCGAGCATGACCAGCACCAACGCGAGCAGTTCCTGGAGAGATACGGCCAGCACGAGGCGGAGATGCGCCAGCAGCAGCAGACCGCCAACACTGAGCTACGAGCCGCGCTGGCACAGCGACAATCACAGGAAGAGCAGCACCGCGAACAGATGGTCCGACAGCAGGAAGAGCACCGCGTGCACGAAGTACTCCTTGAGAAGACCTTGCGGGAGCAGCTCGACAACAGTGCGCCCAGGATCGACGCTGACATGCTCGACAGCGTCGCCGGCGCCTTCGCCGCGGAAACCGAGAATCAGAAGATGCAAGCCCAGGCTGACGATGAGGAGTCCCACCAGCGGGACAACATGCGCTCCGCTCTCCACGCCGTCGCCCCGTCGCGCGAGTTCGACTACGACGTGACCCGCGAACCGTGCTACGCCGAGCTAGACCACATGGCCACCCCGAAGATGGCAGCACTTCGCGGCGCTCTCTCATCATCGGGATCTTCGAAAGGTTTGACGTCGCCCTTATACTGCAGCCTCTGCCAGATCTGCGGTAATTACACCAGCTGCAAGACGGAGATCGTCAGGTGCAGGCGCTGCGGGGGCGAGAGCATCGTCGACCGCTCCGCGGATCTCGGCTACAACGGTACGTGCCCAACGACGCAGAAGCTCGACCAGGTCGCCAATCCGCGCAACAACCCGCAGCCGCAAGCTCCAGCGCAGCGGTCACCGCTGCCCCCGCCACCAGCGATGCCACCATCGCAACAACTCGACCCCTTCATCGACTTCGAATCCCCCACGGAAGTCGCTCCGACGCCAGCGGCGGGAGACGGAACGCCCACGAAGACCCCGAAGATGCACGAAAGCTTCTTGGCTGCGACGCCCACCCCACTCCACACGCGACACGCAGACGACCAGAGCTTCGACGACCCCAGCGACTGCGGCCTCGGCGACCCGACGCACATGCCGACAGTCCAGGCATCGCCGACCCCCCTGACGAGCAACCGACTCCAGGTGCCCCCTTGGGGGGGGGGGGGGGCAGGGCCCTTCCTGCCCCCCCCGAACCCCATGGCCGCCCCCCCGCCGCGGGCACAGTCCGCGCCGCTCCCCGACGATCCCGACTCCCCACGACCCTCCCGACCGACTAACGCACAGACCACCTTACTTGGGAACCCGGGCTCCCCCCCCACGTTCCCCCTTCGTGCTCGAAGTCGGCCCCCCCTTCGCACCCGCCCAACCCTTCTCCCCGAAGCCACTTCCCGCGCGCTTCCACATCGCCACTCCCGACCGAGCCAGATCTGCACCACCTTCGGCCCTCCGCAGGACAAGCGCCCACAGCAGGCCAGGGCGCAAGGTCCGCATCTTGGGCGACGGCGACGGATTCGACAACCCAATGGACCGAGGGCGCTTCAACCCTGAGGGCCAGGAGGGCAGCTCGGGCCCAAGCTCGGACACGACAAAAAACTGAGCAGGACTCCCCCCGCTGAGGGGCGACTGGCCCAGCGGGGGAGTCCCGCTACCACCTCGCCAGAAGACCGAGCACCTAGCCCGCTCAGAGTTGCTGCACGTAACTACCTGTTCACGGAGCAACCGCTGAGCCCCAGCAGACCTGCTGCGCGACCCGTGCGGTGCCAGCCTCTCAGCGACAGGCCCAGACGCCATTGCAGCCACGCGCTCCACGCGGGGGCCCGCCGACCGCCTCAGCGGCGTTAGCTCGTGGGTTAGCACACCGCGCGACAGCGCGACCTAGCGCATCACAACCAGCGAAAGCGACACAAAAAACTAAAACCAATAAGAAGACTAGCTTCAGCACTACCAGCGAGTGGGTAATCTACTCAGCCGCGGCGCCTTGGGATCAGGACCACGCCCCTGGCAGCTCGCAGGCACCAGCAACCATGATTGCACCGGCCGTCGGACCCAGGACCACCCCCTCGGCCGACCACCGCAGCGCACCAACAACCCCGCCAGGGCGGCCAGCGAGGCCAGACGGGGCAAGCCCCCATCGACCCGACCGAACCGCTCTCCAGAGACGAGCCCAGCAGAGGGCGAACCAGGCGACCAGCCACTTTGGCTCTAAGGCGCCGAATTTTTTTGTCCAGAAGGGCCCGCCGAGGCGCCCCACCAGGAGGCCCACCGACGACAGCAGCAGCAAGGCCTGCAGCAGCGGCCGCAGCAAGGACTGCAGCCACCTGAAGAGCAGCACCAAGACTTACTCCACAGGCCCCTGTCAGCTGGACCTCGGAGACCCCCCGAGGCCGGCCTACCAGCTCCGCCATTTTCATCCTCAAGAGAGTCCCCCAGGACCTCAGACGGCCCACCAGAGGCCAGGATTACCGACACCTCAGGACCAACAGCGGCGCCACTGTTGATGCCTTGGATGCGCCGCCAAGGCGCGGCGCAGACGCCAAGAGGCGTCGACGCAGCGCCGCCCGCTCCTGCGGCCACGAACTGTATAGATCCACGAGAGATCCACGACATCGAAGCGACCTACCTTGACACCAATCAAACCAACAGGGGATGCGCCAGGCAACCTTTCCGCTCGCGCACCTCTGCCATCCCATTCCCCCCAACATCGACGCGCCCGACCGACGCCCAATCGCCGCCTCACACCGCGGGCCAGCGCCCTCCACTGTCGAGAGGGAAGGCCACTCAACCCCTCAGAGCCACCAACGTCAAGCCTCCAGTACCACCCGACCAGCCAACAACAGCACCCGCCACGTCACCCCGACCGCTTCAGCAGCGTAGAGTGCACTTCGACGAGCGACCTACCATCCGACAAACGATCCAGCAAACTCCACCTCCCGACCTCACCTTTGACTTCTGCGACGAGAGCCTCAACGAGACAGCCGACTACATGCTCCGTCACTACCCGCAGCGACCACTCCAGGATGGAGCAAAGATCCACCTTCACGGACGGCTCCAAAAATCCGAAGCAGCCGAGCGACGACGCCCGGTCCGCGGTGATCGTCGGTGACGACGACAACCACGGCTTCACCGTCCAGGGAGCCATCGTCGGAAAGCACAAGAGCGGCACCGACATGGCCCTCAAGGACAACAGCGACCACGAGACGACCTCCACGACCGTCGAGATCACTGCCCTAATCTGGGCCTTCGCCTGGGTGATCCACTACAACCCCGACCACATCACCACGATATCCACGGACTCGCTCGGCGCCCTGCAGCTCGCGAAGAGGCTCGCCTTCACCGCTCACGACCCTAAACTCGTCAGGGCTCTCTGCGTCCTCTACGACATGGTCAGCCAGAAGGTAGACCTGCAGCACGTCCACGCCCGCGACCGCAACCCGTGGAACGATGTTGCCGACGCCGCCACCAACCACGGACGTCTTCGAGCAGTTCCAGTGCCCCAGCCAGAGTGGGCAGGCATCATGGACGGCGCATCCCAGCGGTACTGGGAGTTCCTGCTCGACGCGGACCCCAACACCCGGGAGGCCTACCCCGAATTCGGCCACGGCAGCCTCACAGCCAGCAGGGTCGAGACGACCGCCGAGGCCCGACACTTCCACAACCCCACCGAGTCCAGCGACAAGAAGATTCAAATCGAAATCAGCATCGCGACCTTCAACATCCAGTCAGGCCGAGAGCCCAAGGAAGGATCGATGCGAAGAAAAGAGAAGACCAATCAGCTTAAGTCCACGATGGCCTGCCTGTGCGACGGGGACATCCACATCATCGATATCCAGGAGGCCAGGACGCCCTGGGACGCGCTCGACGCAGGACAGGATGACGATGCCAGATGCGCCGACGCCAACAGCTACCACATCATCTCTAGCGGCCATCAGGGGTTCAACTACGTCTGCGAGCTGCACGTCCTGCTCAGCAAGCCTTACGGCAAGAGCGGCAATAAGGAGCTCTACTTTAAACCCGACCAGTTCACCGCCATCGAAAATGACCCCAGGCCCCTTATCGTCCGCCTCGCTGCCCCTGGCTTCAACCGCGCGCTTGCCGTCGCCCGCGCCCCGCATTCGAAGGCCCTCGAGACCGAGAAGGTTCGCTACTGGAAGAAGCTCACGGAGACCACCGACAAGTACTAAGTGAGCATCATCTTCTTCGACGCAAGCGCCAGGACAGGTAACGTCATCAGCACGGCCATTGGCGACCAGGGGTCCAAGCAAAACGAGGATCCCAACGGCCGCCGCCTCCACGCGCTTCTCCTGCCCAACCACCTAGCGGCCGCCAGCGCCTTCGTCAGCCACGGACCCGAGCACTGCACCTGGCACTCGGGCAGGAACCCTCACCGCACCGATTACGTCATCATCCCCAAGAGCTACATCGACTCAATCGAAGAGTGCTCCGTTCTCTACGGCATCGACGGCGGCCAGGACCCAGAAACCAAAGGAGACCACTACCCCGTCAAGCTGCAGCTCGCCTATCAGATCGCCTCGTCCGTCACCAAAGGCGTCCCGAAGCTAGACGAGAGCAAGCTTGCCGACGAAGAATGCCGCAACAAGTTCAGCCAGAAGCTTAACGCAGTCCAACGCCCGTCGCGGGACACCCACCTCAACGAGCACCTCGCTACAGTCACCGAGAAGATCACGGAGGCCGCGTGCGAGTGTTTCCGCCCCCACGGCCGCAACCCACACAAGCCCTACATCACCAAGCGCTCCTTCGCCCTTCTGCGGGTTCGCCGCTCGCTATTCAAGACGACGCGGATCGCCAAGAAAAACGTGATTGCCAGCCACGTTGGCGCAAAGAGGCTACGCTACATGGCCAAGCTCATTGCGAAGGAGGCTCTGCTACCAGACCCCGCCGACGTGGGATTCTTGGCCGACCTCAAAAACTACGCGAAACTAGTGGCGGCCTCCCTCGTACTCAGCACTCCCAGCCTAGCGGCCAGCGCCGAGGCAACAGACGCAGCCAGCACCGTGGATAGCGCCCAGCACTACTTCGACGCCCTCGTTCAATTCCTCTGGACATCTAAGCCTATCCTCTAGAAGTGGATCACGAGAGATCGCGACGCCTTCCTCGAGATGACCGCCGACGAGATGGGCGCCGCCATCGACGACCACGCCTCTCGAGAGGAGGCCATGCGCGCCGAGCGACTCCTGGCCTTCGGAGGACGGGGGCCCAAGAAGCCGCCGACGCCCATCATCCGCGCCAACGACGACGGAAAGCCCCTCGCGACGAAGAGCGAGATTGCCGACCACGCCCTGGCCTACAACAAGAGGACCTGTCACGAGGGGCCAGAACCGAAGATCCAGAACATAATGCCCAAGCACCAGCTGACCAGCCAGCTTGCCGCCGCCAAGCGAGGACGCCGAGGCGGCCCCGACCAGCTCACCGACGACCTGTCCAGAGCTAACCCCGAAGGGGTGGCTCGTCTGCTCCACCCCGTCCTAGTCAAGATCCACTTCGAGAGCGCCGAAACGATCGCCGCCAAGGGCGGGTGCTCCACATGCTTCCACAAAGGCCAGGGGGCCATGGAGCAGCAGAAATCCGATCGCGGCATGCTGCTCAACAGCACCATCGGCAAGGTGCATGGCAGGTTCCTCCGCTCCCGCTTGAAGGGCCTGCTACCCGAGCTCCTAGAGGCGACCCAGTGCGGCGCCCGACCCAAGATGGCAACGGACTTCATCACCCACACCAGCCTTGCTTTCATCAGCGACTGCCGAAGGAGGTCAAGATCCTGCAGCATCACCGTGCTGGACCTTAGGGAGGCCTTCCACTCAGTCCTCAGGGAGTTCTGCATGCAGCTGCCGACCTCCGCTGACGAGCTCAACGACCTCCTCGAAAGCACCGACATCCCCGACTTTCTCAGGCCAGCGCTAAAGGAACGACTCCAGCAGCCTGCCTACAATAACCAGCACGTCGACGACGAGCACCTTTGCCACATGATCGCAGATCACCACGCCACCAACTGGATGACGGCCAAGAGCGCAACGCACTACCAGCTGCCTCGGACCAACACCCGACCTGGAGTGCCGTATTCAGACGTCGCCTTCAACATCCATTTCGCAATCATGCTGAGGGCGATCGACCAGGCTGTCCTAGCGGAAGAGGCCCACGGCCAGCCGACAGGTGTTCGCGAGATCGAGGCCTGCAACGACCCACTCTTCTCGGCGGCCCCTCACGACGGAAGTGCGCTCAGGAACGTGTCCTTCGTCGACGACCTCGCAGACTACAACTCCACCGCAAACGCCAGCGACCTGATCAATGCGACGACCCTGGCGGCCACCAGGCTCTTCGCGGCAGCGTTCCAGCACGGCCTGAAGCCACGTCCCGACAAGACCAAGGCTATCTTCATGCACTACGGCGCGGGATCCAAGAAGGAGAGACAGCGAATCGCCAAGGAGGGCACAACCTACCTCGAGCTGGACCTCCTATCGATCAAGGTGCAGCTAGTAATGCAGCAGAAAGCCCTTGGTACCATCATCGCCTCGGGCGGGGTCATGGGGCCCGAGATATGCTTAAGGGTCAACCGCACGCTCGGAGCAGCCCGGCCTCTCGAGAAGCAGATCCTTCACCGCAAGAAGCTCTCGAAGAAAGCCAAGGTGAAGTACGTCCATTCGTTCTCGACCTCCTCGCTGACATGCAACCACCGCGCATGGGGCGATTTGACTCAGAAGGACCTACAGCACATAGCCGCCAAGTACATGGGACATGCCGCGTGGCAGCCTCGATGCCCAAGACCAACTCGCCCGATCAGCACATCGCCGAAGCCGAAGCGATCGCCAGGACAGGCGTGCCCGACTTCAGCACCCACCAGACGGCAGCGCGATTACGATACCTACCGCTTCTTCTGAACCACGCCCCCGCCGTGTTACTCCAGATTCTCGACGGCCAGCGTCAACGAAAGGGCACCTGGAGCCGCAAGCTCAAGAAAGACTTCGACTTCCTCCGAAAGTACCTTCCACGAGAAAGGTGGCCCAGCCGAACCCAGCACGACCGCGACGTCATCAACTGGGCCCGACAGAAGCCGAAGCTCTTCACCAACGCGGTCAAGGCAGCGGTGAAGGCCTACATACACCACACGCGCGACCAGGCTCAGAACGCCAAGATCCAGAAGGACATTCTGATGCTCCCAGCAGTGGCTCCCGCAGACGAGTTCGACCACCGCGACGACACCAACAATCAGAAGCACGTCTGCTACGCCAGCGGCCGCGTCGCCACCAGGCAAGGCATGGCTGTCCATATGGGCAGGGATCATCCCGACCACGCGGACCCGCGCTTCTGGGCTACTGGCTTGCATGCCGATGCTGCCAGACCGAGCACCACACGCCCCCGAGGCTCATCAAGCACCTCTCGGTGGCCCACCGCTGCCACAAATCCTGGCACGCCTGGCACCTCCAGACGTTGGATGGAGTCTCTGACGGAGCAGCAGATCGCAGCGAACTTCAACGCCATCGCCGAGGCCACGAATACGAACAAGAAGCAATGACGCCACTCGACCTCCAGCGACAAGCCAGCCCACCCGTGCGATGTCACGCCGCTGCCGCTCCTGGAGACGTCGTCCGCTGCGCCGAAAGTATTCGCCAGACTCGAGTCCTCCCCGCGCAGGCCGCCCGCGGGCGCGCCTGCTGGACCAGCCGAGCGCCAAGGGGTCGTCTTCATCACCGACCGCCCTCGACAGGCCGCTGACCTCCAGCAGATCATGGCCAACAGCGGGATCACGTGCATCAGCGGCCTGGACTATTGCCTAATCGCAATCCACAGCGATGGCCAGTCTTCAGAACCACTACTAGAACTCCGGCGAGTACAACGAAAGATCACGGCGAGATCGCGGCCATCTACGCAGAGTTCCCACGACGGACCCGGCACCGAGACGACACCAGCGACGTTCTGGGCAACAGAGCCAGCAGGCGGCGTACCCCTGAGGTCCCCTGGGGACTGCCAGAAACGTCCGAGACTATCGCCGACGAGATCTTCACTGCCAGCAACGTTACCAGAGAGGTCCTGCGGATGCTCTTCGCGGCGGCCACCGCCCGCGTCCCCTTCGTCGCCGCCATCGCGTCCGAGTCGACCTGCAGGCAGACTCCCGAATACCGGTTCATCGCCAAGCAGACGACGGTTAACGAGACCTCGACACAGCACTATGACCTCGGCGCCACACAGATCCTCGACGACGGCACCCGCGACGACCTCCGCAACAGACTGACCACAGCAAACGCTGATGAGATCGACTTTGCCATTGCCGACCTGCTCGACTGCAACATCGTGGCTAGATGGGGCCTCAGAACCGCAACCGCTGCGCCGACCAGCCAGAATCTGAACACCATCGACTCGTACTACATTGAACGAGAGGACGAAGCGCCACCTCCCGCTGAGGCTGATCGCGACGAAGAGCGTCCCCGACGACAAGCTCAACGGCGTCAGGACGCAAGTCCTGAGGAAGCCCCGAGCGCGTGGGAACACCTCAGGCAGCGTCGCCATGTTTTGCAGGAGGCGTTAGGACGCAAGTCCTGGGGAAGCCTCGAATGCGAGGGAACGCCCCAGGCACAAGTCGCCACGTTTTGTAGTATTGAAGCAGGCAGCGATCGTATGCGCACAAGTTCAGCGGCTACCAGCAATCCAGACGACAGACGACCTCAGCGACCGCCAAACACCACCGACCAACCACCACCAGCAACCCAAAGACAGCCCCACCACACCACTCGACAAGTCCACGCTGCTCTGGTGAGGCAAGGATCAAACTTCGAGACGGGCCCGAAGGGTGGGGGGGGGGCAGGGCGAGCACTGCCCGCGCCTACCAGGGGGGATGGTGAGGGGCAGGGGGGGGGGGGGTAGGACGGCCACTACCCGCGCCCCCGCGGTCCGCCCTAGCTCGCCACCCCCACCATCCCCATGGCGGAGACGGAGCTACCCGAGCGCCCGATGGGCGAAGCAAGAGCAGCAGAGACATCTCTCAACAACGAGTCCGACGACCAACCGACCACCCACTTCAGCACCACCACCCCGTCAACCACGACCATCACTCCAGCATGGTCCGCCCGCTGTAAGGAGGACAGGGGCAGGGTCCTCAGCAGCGCGGCGCGCTGAAACTACAACGGAGCAGGGTCCTCAACAGCGTGGCAGGACGAGAACGCTTGGAGGCCGCCGAAAAGGAGGACAGGGGCAGGGTCCTCAGCTGCGTGGCAAAGCACCGACCACCACCGACCACGCCAAGAGCAATGCGCGGCGCACCGTGCGCCGCAGCGAGGCCGCCACCGGCCCTCGGGCCGAAGGGGGGTGCGGCCCGCACCCCGTGTAACATACGGGGGCAGCCAGCTCGGCCAAGCTCGCATGCGGCTAGAGAAGGTCGGACGCCCCTCAGCTCGCGAGCAAAGGAGGGGCGACCGTCGCAAAGGAGTTCGTGGAGGACCAGTTCGGCGCCCACCTGAGGTTGACGGACTGATGGGCTACAGCACGCCCAGCGGCGGCGCGCTGCAGAGCCCTCACTGAAAGGGTTCGCTGAAAGGAGGAGGAGGAGGAGAAGGAGAAGGAGGAGGAAATGGAGGAGGAGGAGAAGGAGGAGGGACCAGATCATCACGACGACGATGACGGTGATGGTGGCGGCTGTTGCTTCAGCGGCGGCGCGCGCACCACGGCCCGTCGCAATCGTGGGTTCGGAGAGGTCGCGCGAGAGGTGGTTTGGCAAGGTCCGCTTGCGGCATCCTCACAGTTTAAATATCCGATATGTTGTGCGTGAAGTGGTGCAGCCACTTCCGCCAGAAGCAGTCGCCGCCTCTCTGGATTCCGAGGTGACCTACGGAAGGTTGTCCAGCCAGTTTTGCTTAATTTTTCCTCGCGACCCCGATATGCCATGACCTGAAGGCGCCCAGCCAGCGTCGCATGAGACATCCCAGCAACTATGGGTTCCGATATGCCGCGCGCGACGTTGGAAAGCCAGTTTCGCTCGAGACGCCCTCGCAACTCTGGCTCCAATCAGCCCTGGAGGTGGTGCGGGGCGTTCTTTCTGGCATCTCGACAGGTGCCGCGCCGCGCGAGAGCCAGCGCG